CGGGGGCTGCATCCGGCCCCCAGGCCTTCGGTTGCCTACCCCTAGAGGATCATCCTGGGCTTCATATATGGGCTGAATCACATCAGTCTTGACAACTAGTATACCACCAATGATTTCCAGATGCTGGTCCTCCAAGTGTTTTGGACTTCAGTTTCCAGATGCCTTAGCCATCCTGGTCAATGGTCTGGGATTTGGGGAGCTGAAGTCCAAAACATCTGGAAGGCCAGAGTTTGGGCATCACTGCTCTAGAACACAGAGGGAGATTTTTTACCCTCCAGATGTTTTGGACTTCACCTCCCAGAGATCCCTGTCATCATGCCATATCCTATGTCAAGGGATTATGGGAAGTGCAGTTGAAAACATCCAAGGGGGCAAGCTTCCCCATCCTTGCTCTGAAATGTGGGAGGGAGTGCTATGCTCAAATTTGTATTAATCATCTGGCCTTCTCAATGTCACAGAAAACGTCTACCTCTCTCAACCCCTTTCCAGAATCCAGAGTCGCCTTCCCCCAATCTCACCGTACAATAATACCCCCCCTGCATATTTTTCAGGAAGCTATTTTGTTCCTCAGACCCAATCTTTATCAACATATTATCAGCCAGCTACATCCTCAGAAAAGAGAAATCTTGGCTTACGTTTCCGAGCCTCTGCCACCTTCTCTGCAGCCCTCTTCTCAGCTTGCAGCAGTTGCTGAATTCCCTGGGTTTGGCTGGCCATGGTTCCCTGGCAAGGATGCTCAGAGCAGCTAATCCTCCTCCTGCATCTCCTGAAGCGGGTACCACATCCTGCCAGAGCAGCGCCAGGGCCCTAGTGCTCCCTTTTTTCTGTCTATTCTGTCACTGCTCTCTGCAAGTGCAGGGTGACAAGATGTCGTAACTGCAAAGGAGAATAAGGCATCACGACATGTAGGACATTCTGGAACATTGCACGACATTCTAAAATAAAAGCTAAGACACACTAATATAAATATAGATTCATTTCATATGGTTGATTTACAGATATATTAAAGGTAAAGGTATTTCCCGTTGACAAGTTGTAAAGTCGTGTCCGACCGTACTGTATTTTATTATTTGTTGTTGTGTGCCTTCAAGTTGTTTCCAACTTATGGCAACCCTAAGGCGACCCTATATGGGGGTTTTCTTGACAATATTTGTTTAGAGAAGGTTTGCCATTGGCTTCCCCTGAGGCTGAGAGTGTGTGACTTGGTCATGGCCACCCAGTAAGTTTCATGGACAAGCTGGGATTTGAACTCTGGTCTCCAGAGTCCAAATCCATTGCTCAAAACACTACACAATGCTGGTGCTCAACATATGGAAAAGGCCTGCTTAAATAATTGGGTGTTTCCACACTGCACAGTTATCACAGTTTGCTACCACTTTAACTGCCATGGCTCCATCCCATGAAGCTGAGATCTTTAGTTTGGTGAAAGACTTAGAATTCTCTTCCAGAGAGCAAGAGTCTGATTCCCAGAACTACAATTCCCACGATTGTTAAGAGCACCTGTGTATGTACACTACAGAATTAAACTGAATTAATCCTCAGTCTCTGGCCTTGTCTGTACTGGACAGGATACTCCGGGGACAGCCACTATACCATACTGGCTCTCTTTTATTATGTACTCAACCAGTTTTTTAAATGAACTTATCTTTGTTAACATGCCTTATTGGCTTGCAATATACTTATAGAACTCTGAGCAAGACAAATGCTTAAAATTGTGCTCTACTAACATCTACCTTTGCAGACTGCTAGAAATAGTGCAAATTGAGTCCACTTTAAGGGCTAGGGTTAGGGTTAGGGAATCATGGGAACTGTATTTTATTGTGGCGACGGAGCTCTCTGACAGAGAAGGCTCAATGTCTCCGAAAAAAAATAACAATTCTCATGATTCCATAGCACTAACCCTAACCCTCAAAGTGGACTCAATTTGCACTATTTCTGGCAGTCTGCAAAGGCCCAATTTAGAAAGGAAATTATTCCTTTAATTTTTCCATTGTGCTGAAATTAAGGGGGGGGGGGGAAAACAGTTCAACATTTGCATTGTGTCCTCAAGCAGTCCATTGGCTAACATGTTTGTTGTCTTTTTCCTCTCTGAAAGACAAATGTACCCTGACCACTGGGTGCAAGTCTTGTCTGTTGTTGCTTCTAGGAAAATAAAAGAGCTTTAGAAGGATCCATCCTATCCTCCTATTTGCAGCAAGCACAGCCTGCCAAGTAGACCAATTTCTCCAAGGGGATCAGCAAATGTGGTGTTACTCAATTGACTTCTTATTCATGCTCAGAAAGGAGGACATTTTAGAATTCCTCCTGGACAAAAGGTAGAAATGTAGGATATGTTCTGGAAAAGAAGGACATCTGGTCACCCTGTGCAAGTGAGGACTACCTCAAAAATAGCCTCTCTTTAACAGCTCTATTACCTCCTGCATTCTGCTATGTCCATTTTAATTGTCTACTCAGGCCATCCAGATCTGAGGGCCTGACCCTGAGTCTTCAATTGTGGGTCATCTCCAAGTTTTGGTGGGATCAGCTCTGGGCAAGAGGGAAAGTCTACCTACAAAGCCTGCTACAATTTTGCAAGAATTAACTGATTTGTTGCTGCAATTTGTAAGGACATTCCAGGGAGGCCTATGTACAGTATTTACTTAGGGTGCAACTACACTGTAGAAATAATGCACTTTGACACCATTTGAACTGCATCGGTGCCATCCTACAGAATCCAGGGATTTATAGTTTTGTTAAGCACCAGCACTTTGGCAAAGAAGGCTAAAGACCCTGTGAAACTACAAATCCCAGGATCCCATAGGATGGAGCTACAGCAAGTCACATCAAACTGCCTTATTTCTACAGGGTAGATGCACCCTTTATCAGTTAGCTGGGTTTATCTTGGAGGAGATAGGGAAAGAGACAGTAGAGTCAATTAGAGTTTAAATGTCTTAAATAAGCACTTGATACATTATTTTTGTCAGGTGCCCTTGGAGGTTCCCCTGCCATGAATATGAAAAATAGTTAAATGTGGTTAGAGATATTAGGATTGCAGGTCCCATTCTGTTGTGGTTCATGTCACAAAACACAGTAAGTCTATGTATAAAATATGTATTATTACATTTGTGGGAAATTAAGACTAAATAAAGAGAACATTCTGTAATATGGATATCAAAATAATGTGGAGAAAAAAGAAGAAAGTAAAACTAAATAGAAAACACTATTTTCTATTTTTTAATTTAAAGTGGAATCAAACAACTTAGTTTGATCTTCAGATAAAATCCAAAAGTAAAGAAGTGTAAGACTTATATGAGAGGAAGTCAAAGCTAAGTGTTAATTGTTTTTTATTAAAGAAACTTATGTGTGTAAGGATGTCAAGATTGTGTTGTGTATTGTGTGTACTGTAATGTGTTATCAATGTTTAAGTGAGTTGTAAGTAAGGGCCTTTACAGACTGCCAGAAATAGTGCAAATTGAGGCCACTTTAACTGTCCTGGCTCAGTGCTAAGGAATCATGGGAACTGTAGTTTATTGTGGCACCAGAGCTCTCTAGCAGAGAAGGCTCAATGTCCCAGAAAAAAATACAATTCCCATGGTTCCCTGGCACTGAGCCAGGACAGTTAAAGTGGCCTCAATTTGCACTATTTCTGGCAGTCTGTAAAGGCCCTTAGTTGAGTATAAATAAAGATATGATGGGGGATAAAACCGTGAATCTTGACAGTTTTGTGTATTGTGGATCTGTAATTCTGAAAACACTACAATCGTACTGTTGACTGAGTTCAGACATCTCATATATGTGTATATATATGTGAACTACTTTGAAGTAGTTCAAAGGAGGTGGTGTCCAGTGGTAAAGCCTTGCATGGGGCACTTAGAATTTGGTGCCATAGTGGTGGGACAGATGGAGGTCTTGACATTTGGGGGCAGTGAAGGGAGAGTTGGTTGACCTGCACAAACACCAATTTGGGGAAGTCTACCTCACTAAATCAACTGGCTGTCCTTTGGCAGGTCAACCCTCTGCGATTTGTAAAAGCAACCCAACTCAAAGGGACTGTATTTGTGAAGGAACACACACAAGATGAAAAATACATATGACAAGAATCTGAAATTGAGGTTAATATTTAAAAGGGAGGTGTTGTTGCTGTTGTGTGCCTTCAAATTGTTTCTGACTTGTTGTTGTTCACTGCCTTCGCATCGATCTCGACCCATGGTGACCCTATGGATGAGACATCTCCAGGCCCCCCCTGTCCTCTATTGCTCTGCCCAGCTTCTGCAAACTCATATTCTCTTTAATAAAGTCCATCCATCTAGCATGTGGCCTTCCTCTCTTTCTACTTCCCTCCACCTTTCCTAACATTACTGTCTTTTCCAATGCCTTCTCATGATGTGTCCAAAGTACGACAGCCTAAGTTTTGTCATCTTAGCTTCTAGGGATATTTCTGGCTTGATCTGCTCTAAGACCCATTTGTTTGTCCTTTTGGCTGTCCATGGGATCCTCAGCACTCTTCTCCAGCACCACATTATCTCAAATGCATTGATTTTCCTCCTATTTTCTTTCTTGACTATCCAGCTCTCATATCCATACATGGTAATAGGGAATACAATGGCTTCTATGATTCTGACTTTTGTGCTGAGTTGTATGTCTTCACATTTTAGGATCTTTTCTAGTTCTTTCATAGCCACCTTTCCCCATTCTTAGTCTTCTTCTGATTTCCTGACTGCAGTCTCCATTTCTATCAATATTTGATCCCAGGTATGAGAACTCTTTTTCTATTTCCTCATTTGTCTAGTTTGAATGTGTGTAAGTTCTCTGTGGTCATTATTTTGTTT